CACAAAACTCCAATGGACATTTCCAGGTCCATTGGATCCATTGGATCCAATGGACACTTTCGGTTGGCTATCTCACTGGCCTTGTATGTACATGAGGTCCATGTGCTTGTCATTACGTCACTCAAATACATGGTAATTGACCAACTGAAAAAGCAAATGTCCGATGGAAATTCCACTTGTCCATTGGATCCAATGGACACACAAAACTCCAATGGACATTTCCAGGTCCATTGGATCCAATGGACACTTTCGTTTGGCTATCTCACTGGCCTTGTATCTACATGATGTCCATGTGCTTGTCATTACGTCACTCAAATACATGGTAACTGACCAACTGAAAAAGCAAATGTCCGATGGAAATTCCACTTGTCCATTGGATCCAATGGACACACAAAACTCCAATGGACATTTCCAGATCCATTGGATCCAATGGACACTTTCGTTTCGCTATCTCACTGGCCTTGTATCTACATGACGTCCATGTGCTTGTCATTACGTCACTCAAATACATGGTAATTGACCAACTGAAAAAGCAAATGTCCGATGGAAATTCCACTTGTCCATTGGATCCAATGGACAAACAAAACTCCAATGAACATTTCCAGGTCCATTGGATCCATTGGATCCAATGGACACTTTCGTTTGGCTATCTCACTGGCCTTGTATCTACATGATGTCCATGTGCTTGTCATTACGTCACTCAAATACATGGCAATTGACCAACTGAAAAAGCAAATGTCCGATGGAAATTCCACTTGTCCATTGGATCCAATGGACACACAAAACTCCAATGGACATTTCCTGGTCCATTGGATCCATTGGATCCAATGGACACTTTCGTTTGGCTATCTCGCTGGCCTTGTATCTACATGATGTCCATGTGCTTGTCATTACGTCACTCAAATACGTGGTAATTGACCAACTGAATAAGCAAATGTCCGATGGACATTCCACTTGTCCATTGGATCCAATGGACACACAATTCCATTTGACAGATGGAATGTCCAATGGCCTTTTGATTTTTCCATCGGACATCTTGCATAGGTATTGGACATTAATCTTCTGGAGGAAAGTTCACAAAAATGTCATCAGCCAAAAAAGATAAAAGGAGAGTAAAGAAAGCAGATTGACAGGCCACAGAGAAAGAAAAGAAGTGTCGGCAAGCAATCAAACAGAGAAAAGTGATGCATGAAGAGGCACTTCGGGAGGCTGAGGGTGTCACTTATGAAGCAGGAGGCTTCTAGGTAGTCAAGATATGAACAAACTGCAAGTTTCCACATTTTAATTACATTCTAGAATGTTCATGTCAGTACTGCATAGTAAATTTCAATTTCTTCGACTTTAACTCAATTTTTCTCAAAATCAACTTTTCATGCGGTTGAGAAAGGATATCTCAAGTTCTATTTGACCAATTTGCCTGAAATTTTCAACAATAAGTGCTTTCATAGAGCTCTTGGGGATGTACATAGAACTTTTTCTAAGGATAGATAGATTGGGATTTAAAGATGATAATGTTATGAAAAAAATGCTTAAAATATTCATGAAATTTAGCATTGCATAACTTTTAAAGCGGGCCGGGGTTAGGGTTTGCGGTTAGGTTGCGGGGTTAGCAGGTGGGGTTAGGGGTTAGGGGTTAGAAGGTGGGGTTAGGGTTAGGGGTTAGGATTAGGGTTTGAGTTAGGATTAGCGTTTGGATTAATTGTAAGTCCATTGTAACCAATACTTTATTGCATACAATGGCATTACAACGCCAATAAATTATTGGTTACAACGTGCGGAACGGCTGGTAGATTAGCCTCTCTCCTCCGCAGAGGTTTCAATGAGCTTTACATGGCGCTTTACATGACGCTTACCGTATTGAACCGCTGTGTGGAAGACGCGCAGGCGAAAAAAGCACAAAGCCACTGAAACCTCTGCCACAGAATAAGGCACACAGAAGGGCCCTGGCCGCCATCTTCCTAGCCAGTCGATTACATTTTCTGGCCAATAAACGCGCTGTATTGGCTGAAGGCCCCGCCTTCTGGCCAGTCAACTGCATGTTTTTGCATAGAAAAATGGCGACACGTTACGCCGCTGAGTGGCCCTTCTGGTACTGATCTTTATTCTGTGCCTCTGCGGAGGAGAGAGTAGATTAACCACGTTTTTTGCGTTTTTTTGTGGCTAGCCCGTTCGCGGGCTAGCCACAATCTAAAGCTAAACGAGGATGAAAGCGAGGGCCGAAGGTCCGAGGAAATTTTTAAATTTAGAGTCTCTGAAATGCCATTTGCTGGACTTTGGGGAAGATTTGACAGAATTCTGATGGTCAGAAAACAGCGTTTTAGTATGTTGAAATTTACGATTTAGTAGTACTAAATGGGCGAAGGCGTATTTAGTTAACTATATATTGCAGGAATATATTAAGTTATATAGTAAGTTGCAGGAAAGTATGTATATTAAGTTGCAGGAAAATATGGGTAATATCTTCATTCTTTGCCGTTTGTCATGGATTAAATAATAAAGGTCTGCATGATTTTGAAAAAAGAATGATTATTAGCAAATTATTGCTACGGCCCTGATATATTCTTTGTTGATATATGATAATATTGATGCGAGTGTGAAGATTCGAGACTCGCAATTTGAATAAATATTATATAAAATGAATAATTTAACTTCCTAGAGCACCATCCAATGATTTACTTTTATCTGCCATATTGCAAATAAGAAAATTACTACTCTTCAGGCAATAAACATGACTCAGAGATGTAAGAAAAGGCTAGTGGAAAAATATAACACACGAAGTTTACATTACACACGCACCTCGCTACAACTGTCCGCACTTGCACTTTTACTTCATGTTATTTTGCGCACCTGCAAGTCATTTTACGCACCCGCACCTATTTTACCCAAGCTTTCCGCACCCGAGATCTCGGCGAAAAGTGCCCAACTCTGCAGTCTGGGTGTTCAGTAGTACTATTAAAACAGCAATATTATTATTTGAAAGTGTATTAACTAATTGCTGACTTAATTGTAGGTATTATTGTAGGCTCTTTTCATATTTAAGGAGTCGAGCTTTGATATTGAATTCACCAAACAATGTTTAATAAACAATGTTACTGAAGTGTAGGGTTGAAAGTATAAACAATCAAACAAAGTAGTTACTGATATTTCTTTAGAATATTCTCGGCATATTTCAAGATGGTTTTTAGCAAACCATATGTTTGTTTCACTTTTAATTAGTGGCATTCCTTTTATATGTACTTTATATAGTAAGATTTTTATATTAATTGGAAAGTTGTTTATATTAATTGGAATGTTGACAGAACATTAATTAAATCATGATTGAATATTTCGAAGTATATACAATTACAGCTAGTAATATGGGTATTATCATTGCAAGTCATTGCAGTAGCAGACTTGTATGTATATTCTTTTCATGCATGCATGTTAGCTGTATATTAAAGAAAATTAAAACAGAATGCTGCAATGTTGTTATTTTATGTGATAACGATGAGTACACTGTTTATCTTTGAGAGTAAGACAAGCAAGCTTACTGCTCGCTAACTCTCCATTCGAATTGAACGTAGGCATAGGTGTACCGGTGCAGATGACATTTTCCCAACTAAGCCTGAAAATGCCTGACCTTTGATTCCTCCCTGTCCCAGCACATGCATACACAGAGGTAAAACACATACTGTTCGTGTTTAAAAGTCTTCGAATTAATGTAATTGTGATTATTGCATTAACTGTGTAATCCCAGTATTATAGAATGTTTGCAGTCATGACATCACAGCCGCCATGTTGGTGTTCCAGTTTAAAAGAATTTTAATTAGACACTTTTGTCTGGAACACAACATGGCCACCATGGCTTTTGTTGAGTTGATCCTTGGAGAATGAGCGCAAACGCTCTATTTACTGGTAACTAATACTAGTTTTTCAATGTTCTGAAACTTGGGGGTGGGTTGGGGGTGGGGCGACTTGCACGAGGCACCAACTTGGTTGGCACTAAGTTTTTTAACTTTGGAATCCTAGATTGTCAGAAATGGCATTTTCGAAGTTTTCTCTACCTGTTTTGTTAGACCTGTAGGCTGTAGTACTATATAAGTTTGCTCTTTTTAATTCTCAATTTATCCCCCCCCCCGTATTTTATGCCTGACTTTGTCTACTTTTATGCTCTATTTTTGCCAACTTGTCGACCTTTCATTGATATGTATTATATTCAATTATTATGTAACATGCAAATTCTGAACGCTGATTGGCTAAGAGCAGTGTTGCTATAACTCAATGTCAACATGGAAAGTTCCCGCCACACTTCAATTTTAATAATTATTTTCTCCTTATTTCCTAGTGCTGTATTATAAAAAATATAAAACATCTTTCCATGCTGATATTGAGTTATACTCATGGAAGTTGAGAAAACTCGAAATTATGTGGAAAAACCTGCCCTTCAGGCATCATGTTTCCACAAAACTGTCTCATTATAGTCTTTTTTTAACTCTAACAACGCATAAAGATGTTTTATAATTCTTAAATATTCACGATACCACCTAATTTTTTAAATTCAACACAGTACAGACATTGGGCTGCTATGTTGTGATATGAATTTCAATTTTCTCTTCCAAAGGAAAGGCTAGCCACATGTACGCAGTGCGTACCTATTTTTTTAAATTGACGTTAAAATTTTTTATAAAGATTATTAATTTCGGTTCTCATTTATACTCAGTTCGGTTTTTTTGAATTTTTTTTCCGACCTACCGACCTCTTATTTTTAAAGTCAAATCCGTAAACCAATAAATAAAAAAGTCTCGCCTTAATATAAAATAATGATTCATCTCTAGATGAATTTGCAGCGGATCCGCCGGATCTACATGAAGATTATGCGCGTGTATGCGTTTTTTGAGAACCAGTGATTCAAACTAATCAAACAGAACAAACTCTGATTCAAACTAATCAAACAGAACAAACTCAAAAAGCCGTTTCAATATTTCATAAATACGGATTACTTTTGTGTATATATTTCTTAACATTTGGTTAAAAATAACTGACAAGCAATAAAGACGACGATAAAACGTGAACACATTCATGCATTCAATACCAATGTCAACAGTCATCTTCGAATCGTATTTGGATTCTTGGGCATCTTATAAACAGATATTCAAACGTTTGTTCTGATGAACTTAGTAGCTGTGTATGGTGATCTGTGGATGTAAGTATTTTTCTATCAGTGAATGATTGATTCTACTATTATTACCGGAGGGTCTAAACTGCAGGTTGCAGGTTAATGCAGGTTGCAGGTCGGTGCAGGTTGGTCTAAACTGCAGGTTGCAGGTGCAGGTCAGTGCAGGTTAATGCAGGTCAGTGCAGGTTAATGCAGGCCGGGTAATGGTTCATGTGTTCCTGTGTTGCCCAGTTGGTTTGGGGCCGAAAAAACACGTTCAAAGTAAGAAAATAACATACCGGTATCGACGATAACTGACGTTAACAAAGTAATCTACAAACAGGCCGCAATTTTTTTAACTTTGAATATAACTTAAGGCCTTGATACACTAGGGAAAGTTTCCTAAACAAAGTTTCTGAAACATTTTTTTAGGTGGAAAAACTGCAAGAATGTGGACTCCAAGGAGATTCATGCTCAAAAAGTGAAAAATCTTCCCAGTCATTCAAAATAAAACAAAAGGTTTAAGATTTTTTATGATACGAATGAAACTTGTTTCATAAAAGTTTGTTTCGGAGACTTTTCCTAGACATAGTGTATCATCAGACTTGCTCCAAGTCTCTCTTTCATTGTCATATCGATCCACTATAGTGTACATTACATGACGTAGTACAGAGGGGCGGAGCGAGAAAGAGAGACTTGTCAACTTCGGAAAATCTCGGTTCAAAACTGAACTGAAAGACTTGCTTTAATTGTTTTCTGTCAGTGTTTATATGTATTGATGTAGCACAGTGGAAATAACATGAGTTCCATTATAGTAAATAATACAGAAAGAAATTGAAGGAAATTAGGAAAACAATTATTGTCAAATCGACTGGGCAACACAGGCTAAAGTACATGAACCATTACCCGGCCTGCATTAACCTGCACTGACCTGCATTAACCTGCACTGACCTGCATTAACCTGCACTGACCTGCATTGACCTGCAACATGCAGTTTAGACCAACCTGCACCGACCTGCAACCTGCATTAACCTGCAACCTGCAGTTTAGACCCTCCGCTATATTACTATAATATGTCGAAATGTTGAACGTTCCAATGCACTATTAAAGGGGCAAATCAGTCTTAATACAATGTAATTAGTAATTATTGCAAATTTACAACATTATTATATCAAGAGATCAATTTCCTCTACCCAATTTTAGTACAGATATCAATACATTATTTCTTGCTTCATTGTTATAATTTTATTATTTTAATGCTTCTTGGTATTAATATTAATGAGGTTGTTTTTGTGCTGCATTTTAGGTACTGTAATCACATGTCAAGGCGTACCAAGTTTGAGAGCTTATTTTGGGCCGAATATGTTTACCGAATGTACCACTTGGAGCAATTGGACAAGAATACAGTCACAGATAATTTTATTTTACAAAATCACGTTATTTGGTATCGACAATTGATTGTATACAAAACACTGTGGTATTAAAATGATGTTCTGCATGTCCCATTGGTAAGCACAATGAGTGCCATCACAGCCGTATGCATCTTTAAACATCCTTGTTAGCAGCAAGTGGGTTCAGCAAAGATTTTAAAATATGGAAAATTTAGCTATACCAATTGAGAACTGGATTTGGATGTCCTTTAAGTTAACACTCGGGAACATTTTTTAAACCAAACATCAAATTGCAGGAAAACTAGAAAAATCAAAAGGGAGCTAAACAAGTAAATCTTGAAAAAGAAATGACTTCACATGACAATTTTATGATGAAGGATGCCCAGTACAATTTTAATTGTCTAAAATATATAGAGTATAGTGTATATCTTAACAGTTGGTAGTTCTTATTTGATAATTACTTAATATACTTATAGCCATTTTCCCAAAATGTGGTATTTTTCGTCTTTGAGAAAAGATAATTCTTTACCAATTTGACCAAACTGGCTGAAATTTTCAGTGTTGATAAAGCTCATCATGATAAGTGTTTTGAGCGATAGAATTTGGTATATGTTGTAATATTTAGTATATAGTTAGAATTTAATAGAAGTTAATATTTAGTATATAGTTAGAATTTGGTATATAACTACAGTTTCCTATCCAGTTATTTTATAATCCATGGTCAGACTATATCAGACCAAGATTAAATTGGGGTTAGAGTGGGGGTTAGGGTTCTAATTAAGGCAATGTCTTAATTTGAACGCTTTTTACAATTAAGACAGCCTTAGGGAGCGATCATTAATTATTGGGGGGGGGGGGAAGGGCCGGTAAATTTAGGGGTAGGGCTACCATTTTTTGGACCCCCTTTTGGGGAGGGCCAAATTTTTTTGTGCCCATCTAGAAGGGAGGGCCACAAATATTTGGGCACCTATTTCATTAAAAAAAGTTATATTTCAATGACCAATTCAATGGGCCCGTACACGGATAATGAATGAAGGCTTCCATGCAGAGATAATTAAAACGAAATTTATTTCACCAACACCAGAACAATTTCTTTCACCAACATAATAAACATTAATTATGGACCACGAGGAAGTAAGCAAGATGGCGATATAATGCAACTGTAAGATTATGTTCTGTTAGAGATTATTAAAGAAAGCATAGATAACAATGTTATAGACAACATTAACGACAAGGATCGTTTCATATACAAGTACCTCAAATGGCGACTAGCTTACCAGAATTTGCTTCTTTTGACGCCGAGAATCGGGAAAATATCGGCGAAATTCGATGGCAACGATGGTTCATGCGATTCGAAAATCTACTGATTGCACTCGATATAAAAGACAAGAAAAGAAAACGAGCGTTATTATTATACTATATCGGTGAAAGTACTCTAAATATCTTTGAAACACTGCCAGAGACAGGCACAGAAGACGACTATGACGAAGCGTGTCAAGCTTTAAATGAACACTTTAAACCTCGCAAGAATACATCGTTTGAAATATTCAAGTTCAGGAAAACAAACCAACTTGTTGACGAAACTCTCGATCAATACCATGTACGACTCGTCCAGAAAGCTAAGTACTGTGAATTCTCAAACTTAGATACTGAGATAAAAGCTCAAATTGAGCTAGGGACCAATTCCAAACAACTTCGACGATATGCTTTCCGTAAACCAAAACTGACTTTGTCTGAACTCTTAGACTATGGACGGACACTTGAAACTGTTGAAGAAGATGCGAGCGGAATTGAGCAAAATATGAATGAAACACCAATGAAAGATATCCACGCCGTACGCCGAAATCCGGCTGCTACAACGCCTAAGAAAATATGTTTCTTTTGTGGATGTAGCCACATGTGAATGTTTGTCCGGCAAAAGGGAAAACATGCAACCATTGTCACAAGCAAAACCATTTTGCACGATGTTGTAAATCGAAAATTTCAGCTGGACAGCGTGAAAGTAAGTTTCCTCAGAAATCCAATGAACGAAGATCCCAAGTGAAACAAATAGACGAACAACGTACGAATTCAAGCTCAGATGAATAGGTTTACACAATAAAAAAACAAACCCCTGATACTAACAAAGTCGTTTTAACATCTATCACCACTTCACCCACAGGAGGAACTGTTAATGAAGTTAACAGTGACTGTCGAAAACAAAATTTCTACACCCATATTAAAATCAATGACATAACTATTCGTGTAAACATTGATTCTGGTGCCAGTGTAAATATTATCGATAATACTAGTTTTGAGAAATTAACACGCCAGAACAACATCCACTTGATGAAAAGCAAAATAAAACTTTTTGCTTTTGCCACTAACACACCCCTCGACATCAAAGGGTATTTCGAAGCTTCAATTGAATCAGGAACAAAAATTACCACAGCCCAATTTTATGTGATAAACACTGATGCTGGATGTCTAATAAGTGGAAACACTGCAATTGATCTTGGGTTATTAAAGCTAAACAAAATTGCATTTGTTACATCTCGACCTGAAACCCATCAACCTAAGACCCATCAACCTAAGAAAAATGCTCCAACAAATAGCAAGTCTAGACCTAAAAGATTGAGAACCTTATTTTCGAAATATGATCATTTATTCCAAGGAATCGGAAAAGTCCCAGATTACAAAGTCCATTTACACATTGATAAAACTGTCCAACCCACGATTCAAAAAGCCCGCAGAATCCCATTTACAATGAGAACCAAACTATCAGAAGAACTGCGACGTCTTTGAATCATTAGATATTATTGAAAGTGTAACAGGCCCCACGTCGTGGGTATCTCCCATTGTTTGTTTCCCAAAACCCAACAATCCCGACCAAATTCGTCTTTGTGTTGACATGCGTATACCCAATAAAGCCATTTCACGGGAACGTCACCCTTCTCCCACAACTGAAGATTTAATTGAAAAACTAAATGGTGCTGCATATTTCTCAAAACTTGATCTAAGCTCTGGGTACCATCAACTAGAGTTGGATGAAGCTTCACGTGACATAACTACATTTGCAACTCATGAAGGTCTCAAAAGATATAAACGTTTGAACTTTGGCACAAATAGTGCTGCTGAGATATTTCAAAATGTCATTCAGACCACATTCCAAGATATTGACGGTTGTATAAACATAAGCGACGACATACTAGTTTTTGCCAAAACACAACATGAACATGGCATGACATTAGAATCTGTTCTACAGCGTGCTAATGAAAAGAATTTAAGATTCAACGGTGACAAATGTGAATTTGATAAACCAAGCATCACGTTTTATGGTCATGTTTTCTCGAAGCAGGGTATATCCCCATGTCCTAAAAAGATCGAAGCGATCAAGTCTCTAAAACCTCCAGCGAATGTTTCTGAACTTCGTAGCTATTTAGGAATGATAACATATTGCGGCAGATTTATCCAAGATCTTGCAACACTGACTGCCCCATTACGTAAACTTACAAAGAAGGACATAAAATACGAATGGAAAGAATCACAACAACGTGCGTTTGATACATTACAAGAAAGATTGAACGAAAAAAACACTTGATCATACTTTGAACATATCTTTTCAACAACCCCTTTCAACATATCTTTTTGGTATTAGTCTTGTTCGAAACACAATCCAACACACTATTTAGAGTGTTATTTTCAAGCTTGCATGTGCAGTTCTGCATGTTTTATTTCCCGCGAAATGTTGGGGATACTTGTATCCCTAGTGTCTGACAGTGTCTGTAGTGATATGGGAATGTAGGGTGGTTCTTTAGAGATACGCAGAACACGACCGCCATATTGCCGGGGATACACATATCCCAAGTGATATTAGTAGGGGATACACAAAACACGGGGATACTCATATCACTGTGACAGCGGCAATATTAATACAAAATACCCCCAGCCAAAATGACGAAACTGTCGTTGCATATGGCAGTCGTGCTCTTATAGAAGTAGAACAAAGATATAGTCAGACAGAACGCGAGGCATTGGCAATTGTTTTTGGCTGCGAACATTTTCGTTTATTTCTCTATGGAATTCATTTCACAATCTATACAGACCATAAACCATTAGTATCGATTTTTCAGAATCCAAATTCACATTGCCCTGCACGACTAGAACGCTGGTGTTTACGCCTACAGTCGTACAATTTCCAAATTCACTATCGCCCTGGCCACGATAACCCATCCGATTACATGTCAAGACACCCAATGAATACGACCTCAATGACATCACAAAACAGTGAAAACTCTGAATATTATATTCAGTTCATTGCGGAATCAACAACCCCAAAAGCAATGACCCTTCAACAAATCAGAGAAGCAACACAAAATGACCCAACTTTGCAACATGCTGCACACATAATACAGAAAAACTTATGGCATACGTTAGACACCACAACATTTTCCAAAGACACAGTCATTGATATTCGTGAACTAAAGTTACTCCGTAATATCAAAGATGAATTAACTGTATCTAATGATAAGAACATCATTTTACGAGACACAGGCATTGTTATTCCAAAAAGCTTGCGAGCAGATGCCATACGTTTAGCCCATGTTGGCCACCAAGGCATAGTTAAAACGAAGAGCCTAATGCGAGAAAAAGTTT